CAGCTCCTTCCTTCCTTCCTTCCTTCCTTCCTTCCTTCCTTCCTTCCTTCCTTCCTTCCTTCCTTCAGCTTGCATACAAGGAGCATCTTTTCTAAAAACAGGCTAAATACATTACCAAATTTGGTCATACATAGACTCTTAGATGTATTAGATTTGAGAAAAGAACCTTCTCTCACACATGTAAGCAGGCATTCCTTATTCTAGGAGCAAAGGTAACATATACTGTACAATCAGAACTGACGATCAAATACCTTTTGCAATTTGTCTAGATATGCATCAGTAAAGTCTCGGTGCTCTCCCGGGACAAAGGTTGCCTTGTGTTTGTCCAGCTCTTTTGTGTAGAAAGCAAAGACCTTCTGGACATTTTCAAATAAAGTTTTGTGGGGCAGAGGGAGCCGTCTCAACAGTGGGACTTCATTGTAAAGCTATCAGAAAATGAGCAAAACAGGTAAAAAGAAAAATGAAAAATGAAAGGAAACAAGGGAACTTAAAGTTAGCAGGTGTAAACCAGGATCTAGTTGGTTTTACCAGTGCCCAGGGTCCTGATAAAAGTTTCATGTTCTGATGGAGGAGGTCCAGCACATTCCGGAGGGTGGCATCCTCGTATTCGAAACGTTTCCCAAACACAATGCTAGAAATTATGTTCATCACTGCACGGTCCGTGAAACAGAAGGGGTCAAAAGGAGCCTCTGTAGCATAAAACAATGGGAAAATTAAGGGCTTGTTATTTAATGTGCACTTCCCTATGCATCATCCTCAACACTCTGATTTGCTAGATCCCAAATCTTGTCTGTTCTGGGATTTTCCATGTTGGCTACGAAGGGTCCTGCTTTTCCTCTGCCCACCCTCAGCCTTTCTCCCCATCTTCAGTAGGCCAGAAAACTGAGTACGATATGTTCCTGGAAGGCTCTAATCGAACCCACGAAACTCCACAAAAACGCCGTTCTTGTGAGTTCCAAACAGCCGTGTCCCCGTTCAAGGCTGTGTCCAGCCTGGAATAGGGGCCCATGAGGTGGGAGGAAGGAGAAACGCTTGCTGTTTCTCACCCTTATTAAACCCCTCTTTCTGTAACCCTCAGTTGCCTCACCTCATCCCATAAATCATGAACAGAACCATGTCCTAGACCCAAAGGCCAATATTAAGAGTATTAGTTGAAAGGGAGAGAAAGAGCAGAGTGATTTCCTCCTCAGATTAGAGTAAATTCCTCCGCAGATTATCAGATCCTCCACACATCCTGCCTGCACCTGTTGAAGTGGTGGTTCCATCGCCCATGGATGTGGATTAGTTTGACAGATCTTTGTAACGTTACTGGAGAATTTGATTAAGCCCTTCCACTTCCCTATTATTTTCCTTCATGTGGGGACTGGGTTTTGTGTTTCATTTATTTTCTTTGTGTAGTTGCGTTCGTTCCAGATATGGCAGCCCCACCTGTTTCTTTACTCTTAACAAGCTGGGTTGCTATGGGGTGAGCAGAGCTGAGATTCCCTTGACATCAGTAGCGATGACATCGGTGGGAGGGAAATAGAGAAGGGGCAGAGAACGGGGAGGGCGTGAGAACGATGGAAAGGTGGGAGGCCGCGATGGGGACTTGAGTGGTGGCACTTGCAATCCCGTTGGACTTAAGTCATACTGTAGGGTGATCTTGTACTCCATTCAAGGTGTCCCCCCCCCCAAATGACTTGGACTCAACATGAGACCTGGAATGCACCCACCCCTCTCTTTACTTTCTAGCACAGACACTGAGTTTAGGTGAGATCTCCTTCAACCCAGCTTTTTGTACACAGGCTTGCTAACATCCAGGAACTCTCTCTCTCTCTCTCTCTCTCTCTCTCCCCATAGAAACTGAACGAGGTCTTGGCCCGGCCCCTGGGGTGCTCCCAACTCCCAGGACAAACACAAGGTCCTGGCCCAGCCCCTTGGGTGCTCCCAACTCCCAGGACAAACACAAGGTTGGCTTAAATCGCAAGCATTCAACAGGAAGGAGTCATGAAGTGAGTATCCAGCCTATCATCTCCCCGCCAAACCTTACTCATGTTTTCTGTAAATGCTTGAATCAAATACATCGCTTCCGCCAGGATTCTCTCCTCCATCGACTTCTTGCCGAGCCCAAAATTCCGGAGAACCATCAGAGAAACCCTCCGCTGTTCCTTCCAGGCCTGGCCATAGGGCGCCATGATTATTCCTTCAGGAGAACAGGGGATGGATGAGATCACGCCCTTCCAGCAATTAACCTTTGCACCTTAGACATTTGGGTGTCCTTCTAGAAAAGGGCAAAACAGGTTGCCTTGCGTAACACACAGCTCTGTGTAGGGTTCGTCCCCCTCTTCTTGTGCATCTCCTGCTCTCTCTCACCCACTATCCTGGAAGGAAGATTTCTCACAGAATAACCTGATAAATACACCATGCCCGTGCATTGAGTCATAAAAGAAAAATAGAGAACTTATCTTCAGATACCTTTTTTTTGTTTCATTTCTCTTTTTTTTTTTACATTTTATTCATGTCTAACCATGTTTCATTTCTCATTTTTTTACATTTTATTCATGTCTAACCATGCAAACTTAAAAAACATTAAAAATCTAACAAATAATTAACCAAAAAACCCACAAACTAAAGATCCTTCCTTCCCCTGTGGATCAGAGATTTCACCATCATCTAACCATCAAAATATATTCAAGGGGATTCTTGTGTCTGTCATCAGATCATCAAAATATATTCAAGGGGATTCTTGTGAGCACTGGTTCGTTATGGACTAGTTTTTCCCCCTAAGTTCCTAGTTTTTTCTGGGCCCAGTTATAATATCAACTTTCAACTTTGCTTTACAAAGTCTCTTGGTTGATCTCGTAGTGCCTCTGAAAGCATCTCTAGTTCTGCAATATCCAATGGCTTCTTTAATAACTCATCCATCATTGATGTCTCTACATTCTTTCAGTTTTGGTCCCAGAGTAACTTAGCTGCTTTGAATATATAGACTATAATTTATTTTCTTGTCGGTAATTTCTGGCATTATGTTAAATTATAACATTTCAGGCTTAAATCTTATTTTTTGTTGAACAATCTCTTTTGCCATTTCACAAACCTATATCCAATCTTTTTTTTCTCTTTCACATGACCAGTACATATGATAGTAAGTCCCTGGATTTTTTTTTTTACATTTCCAGCAATCATTACTGATCCCTTCTGATATTTTTGCCAATCTTACAGGGTTAAAGTGCCATCTATGAAACATTTTGAGGGTGTTTTCTCTAAGATTCAATGGGTTAATAATTTTATTATTTTTGACCCACATCTTTGTCCATTCGTCAATATCAATATAGTACCCAAGTTTTTGTGCCCATTTTACCATTGCCTCCTTCACCCTCTCATCTTCTAAGTCATATTATAATAAGTATGCATACTTTTAAAAAAATTATTTTAGTGTAAATCCATAATTCATCCACCTGGACTTTCCCCTCAAAAAAGCCCATATATTTGTCCTTTTTATATCTCAATTCTAATTTCAACATTGACCACCAATCTGTACCTAGGCCCAATTTCTCTCGATCTTGTTTATCTTTCATATTCCGGTCTTTAGTTAATAGGTCTTTATACGTGAGTAGCACTTCCTTCTGATTCAAAACTTTCTAAGTGAATGTTTCTGTTGGTGCTACCCAAATTGAAATTTTCTTGTAGGTTTGTATTTGAAATGTTTGCCATACTAAGCAGAGAGCCTTCCTCAGAATATGTTCTGAAAAATGTGATTGTTCTTTGCATTTCCCATACCACACATATGCATGCCAGCCCATTTTAAAATCATGCTCTCTCTCACCCAATATCCTGGAAGGAACATTTCTCATAGAATAACCTGATAAATACATGTATTGAGCCATAAAAGAAAAGTAGATGAAAACTCATATACCTTTTTTTTTATTGATATAGTCAATAATAGGATTGTCTGGCCTCCCAGCAAATTCGATTCCTTTAGTCAACAGAACTTCTTTTGCGAATCTCAAGTCTTGAATAAAAACTATAGGTTTTGTCCCAGGATAAAAACTGATAACAGGTCCAAATTGTTTAGTTAACTGAAAGGAAATAGTGAGTGACGCTTAGTTAGCTACAAGAAGTAGCACACCACTTATGGAACATGCTGAACACAATGCTCTCTATGCCAAGAGGAAATATTTGTACCTTCTGCAAAAGAACCAACTCCACATGAGCATTATTCTAATTGTTATGTCCCCCACATAAAGCTGATTAACCCATGGCAGTCCCCTTCTCGTTTCAGCTTGACCAGGTGGTAGGACTGGAAATAGCCCCTTACCTTTTGCAAATACTTCAAGGGATTTCGAAAACCCTTTTGAAAACCCAATTGAAAGACATTGCCAAAGAACGGGAGAGGTCGTGGTCCTGGAGGGAAATCTTTGGGACGTCCACGCTTCCCGAAATAGTAGAGGATGACGGACAGCACCAGCAGCCAGCTGAAAACCGCCATGGCGAAGGCAAACACAGACTCTGCAATTGTTTGTGACAGCTCTCCAGAAGCGAAGAGGAAGCTGAGAGCTGTTCTCTCTTGTTTGGGTGCAAAGGTGAGGTTTGGACGGAAACCTGTCCTTTTTTTAAAAAAATGAAGCTAGCTGTTCATGAACAGAAACCTTTTTATTTCCATCTGGTGGAAAGGTTGAGGAGGACAACACGGGTCTGTCTGAACAGGGGTGGAATTCTGCTTTCCAGTGATAATTCGTCCCACCTGGAACAGGATTCGTTTCACTTGGTTACCAAATCTCAAAAGTGTCGGTGAAATTCAGCCAGGAGGCACGTGGTGCATCACGGCCTCTCCCAATTTGGAGAGACCCTTGTCCAGCAGGCCAAGGCGAAGAGGCCGTCCAGAAAGCAGCAAAATCAGGGAGCTGGACGGGGGACAGATTGTATTTGTCTTCAGTTTGGAAGGGATGCTCACTCTCGAATTGGCCTTCTCAGCCACACTAGACGCTGTTCCAAGACCTCCATACAGAGCACGTTACCCAAGTCTCTCAAAACTCAAGGATGCCTACACATTGGGTGAACTTGTTGTACAACTACGGCAGGATATAGAAAATTAAGAACAGAGTTCAAGGACCAGCCTTAGTTTTACACAGAGTGAAACGGCTGCACTGGGGAGCAGATTTTGGCTGGCCGAAGAGAGAGGAAATTGTTTATAGCCTAATTTCATGGTTCTCCAATTTGGAGCGCCAGAAGTGCCTGGACCACAATGCCCAGGAGAATAACATGCCTGGCTTCAGATGTTATGGACCTTATCTTTGGGAAGGGGGAAGCACCGTTAGCAGCTTTGTCTTCGGCCACAAAATATCTGTATGGGTCCGATTTCCCTGAATTTTGCCTCACTTCTCCCCCTTCCTTCCCAGCTGTGCCTTTTGACGTGGCACTGCCTGTGGAGGCAGATGTTCTGTGGAAGCAGCTCCATTTGCATGGGCAGCCCCACATAGCCCTCAGAACAGTCCTCTCGTGACAAAGACACCAGGTTAGCCTGGAATGTTTTCAACTTGTTTGTGTGTGTGTTTTTTCAGCCACCTGTCTCTTCCAGAGTTTTGAACAGTTAGTTTTTTAGACGACTTTTCCCAACTAAATGCTGACTGGAGGATTCTGTACTCAATATATATATATATAAATAAATAAAAAGAAAAGAAAAAAGAAAAGAAAAAAGAAAAGAAAAAAG